GCCTCGAAACAACAACTCGCGAGGGTCACTCGCTGCACTCTGGATCAACTACGCAGTGGCTACTCAATGCTCTTCAACCAGTACCAACACCGGCTTGACCCGCCCACACCCGACAACTGTCGCGGCTGCGGCGTCTCTCCGAATGACTGTCAACATCTTTTTGTCCGCTGTCCCCGGCTAGGCAAACAAATCACTCCCGTGGACCTTTGGCTCAAGCCGGTCGATATCTCTAATTTCCTCCGTCTTCCAACTACAACCAGTTTGGACTCCTGTGGCGACGCTTGATCCAACAAGGGCTACGGCACACACACACTAACTGATGAGAAAAACATACCCTAAGCTGTTAGTTATGTATGGGCGTTAGCGATGTTACAACTTCGCGAGACAATAGATGACAGCCTCTCATCAAAAAAAATGCTACCAAGAAAGTACTAGTCGGAATTGCTCTTCACATCAGACTACTGACCGGCTTCGACGGTGGCCTAGTGTTGGCGCTGGGGTAGACAGTGAGGTCGACGGTTCAGTGCAGGTTCCTCAATATAAACTATCTGACGCGCTTGAAGCTGTCAAGGTGCGCTAAAAGCCGTGGGGCTTGGAACGGTGCCAAATGACAGGATATCTCGAAGGGCGTGGTCGGCCCAGTGTGTGCGTGTTGTGTTGTGTGTGGAATAGCTGCCTGGCGAACTGAGAGTCAGGCTGCAATGGCTCCTGCTTCATAGCACTCCCACGCTGTGGGATCCGAGTCAGGCGCTGGGGTAGAGAGTGAGGTCGACAATTCAGTGCAGGTTCCTCAATAGAAACGAGCTGACGCGCTTGAAGCTGTCAAGGTGCGCTAAAAGCCGCGGTTTGCAAGGTTGTCAACTGACAGAACAACGCAGACTGCACGGTCAGCCCAGTGAGTACTTGTGTTGTGTGGAGTAGCTGACTAGCGGTCTGAGAGTAAGACTGCAATGGCTCCTTTTTAATGTGGCCTTTATGACACTGCCGATTCCAACAGTCGGCTGACGCATGGAAAGTTTATCTGCACTGTAAATCCCTGCATACCCTCAAAACAATTAGCCTCACACGATATTGCGATCTATTGAGTCCACGATTGGCGGCCACCAACAAGAGCGGTAACTTTATGTTTCACAGGACTGTAGTGGTTCTTTAATACAACATCATTTACACTCATGCCAGATGCAGGCCGTCTCATGAGCATCCCATACATGCTGTGGAGACCAGACCATCTGAGGAGAAGAAGCAGATGCGATCACTGGGATATCAAATGTGGTAGCCTAAGGTTTCGCAATCCACGGCGGATGCCTCATCAGAGACAATAGCAGACGCGTTGCTGTGAGACAAGTAGATGGGCTGTCTAGCCATACGTCAGAACCGACTATTTTAATCGCTAAAAATCGGATGCTACCGCTGTACACAGTTAACGAGGAGTGTGTGTGTGTGTGTGTCGTAGTCCTTGTTGGATCAAAAGTGCCCGCCGAAATCCAGATAGGCTGCAGTTAAAAGACAAAGAGAAGCCGTGACCTCAACTGTTTTGAGCCAGAGTGGCCGGGAGGGGCTGCTCCGTCAACAAAAGAAGATTGATTCAACGTAAAACGATTGGTGTAG